TTGTGTGAAGCGGGACAGTCCTAGCTTCGTCCTTTCGACTGCGCGTTCAATAACGCTGAGTGATCTTTTCATCCTGCTTACACAGCGACCAGGTTTCTGATCATACGTTAGGGCAGGAAGTACCGTTGAGTCGAAAAGATGGGCACGGAGTCGAGTGTTCCTTGTTCTCTTCACTACATCGTCGATGTTCCTGAAAGTTCCCCAAGCCGCTCGTTTACTTTAGCTCAACTCTGAAGCTGAGCCGTTCCTTATGCTGATTTCCTGACCTAGATAGACGTAACTGGAGCAATCGGAGGTATTAGTTCCGTTGAGCGTGAGTGAGGCATGCGAAACCAATCCGTTCTTCATTAACAACGTTTTTGCGAGATTCGAAATTTTTGTGAGAGTCGAAGACCAATCTTTCCACAGGCTTTATCAAGGTCGTCAAGCATACGTTCCGTTTGGCTAATGTTTGGTGTTATAAGGACGATGTCATTAGCAAAAGGAAGATGATGTAACTGCCGACCATCGATCTTCACTCCCATATTATCCCAATTCAATTTTCACATGACGTTCTGGAGAGTGGCAGTAAATAATTTTGGCGAGAAGGTATCGCCTTGCCTAACTCCTTTTTTGTTGTTTTCTTGTTCAGCAATCGCGAGGTTTTCAAACAGCATACATTTACTTCCATAAAAACACAATACAATACAACGCTAGCTGAAGTTTCGGCAGTATCGCCTTCTTCAGAGCCTGGAAGGGTATACTGATATACAATCTACTAGGCCAGACGCTTCAATAACACTTACAAAAAGACGAAAAACTCTTTGGTAATTACATGATCAACAACTTCTCGAAAAAACCCACCGCTTTTTCGTGACTTCCAATGAGGAAGTTTAGAACAGCTGATTATAGCCGCATGTGGTTGACGACTGCGCCATCCCACATCAAAAATCGATGCGAACGTACGGGATCAGGTCGCGTGTGACCTTTGAGCATTCGTCCCTGCTATTCATTGTAGGGTTTTTGGCATTGATCCAAAAAGCCTCTAGGAGTTTTCGCGCTGGTGTTTTAGACTCCTGTGCAAGGATATTGACTTTTACTTCAAAATCGTCTCCGCTATGCTTTTGTATCCTATGCGTGCCTAGTGGGGTGCTTCGTCTTAGTTTTCGTTTGCCATCTAGGTGTTCTTTTATACGGATACACAAAGGTCTGCCCGTTTCGCCAATATATTCATCTCCGCAATTGTTACAAGAGATCAGGTATATCGTACCTGAACTCATGCAATCACCGTCCCTGCCGTAAGGGCAAATTACGCAATTTGTTGTTTCACACAGACGGTCATACAGGCGGTTGCGAACTAACTGGAGACGTAGAGCAGCCGGTGGTATTTCAACTATCGCTACCGATTCCTCTAGACCTGCCCTTCTTAAGCATCGTTTTATAGCTGCGCTTACTTCATCGCTTATAAAAGGCAACATAAACGGGATTTTGTTTTGGCCAAGTGTTTCGCGTGGGC